GAGCTTTTTATATGATAGTTACTGTACTTTTTCTATGTTTAGAAATGTTGAAATATACAAATACTTAAAATTGTGTTATAATTGCTACATTATTCAGCACAGTAACATGCTATACAAATTTGTAGTCTAGAGCAAGAGGCTATACCATATAGCCTAGGAATGTAGTAGGTTATACCATCTAGGTTTGTGTAAGTACACTCTATGATGTTCACACAATGATGAAATAATATACCCATCATTAAGCAACATATGACTATATACAGAATACAGTGAAAGATGCAAATGCACAATGAGAAAAATCACTGTTAAATCGGCATCTCTCAAAATTGGCACCATTGACATTTTGGTCTCCCTCTGTTGTGGGGAACTGACCAGCACATTGCAGGATGTTTAGCAGAATCACTGGTTTTTATTCACTGGATGTCAGCAGCACACCTCTCCAGTTGTGACAATCAAAACTGTCTGTAGCCATTGCCAAATGTCTATGAATCAGAGTCAAACAAAAACTTTTTAGATTAAACTAAGTCTCGAAGCCATAGACCAGAAGTGGCGAACCTGCGGCCTTAAGGCCACATGTGGCCTTCTAGGTCCTTAACTGCAGCCTTCTGACTGAATCCAAATTTTACAGAACAAATCCTTTTATTTTTATTAATACATTTTGTTCATCTTATATATTTTTATTTTATTTTTAAAATGAACGTATTTAAAATACCTAAGAGTAAGTTTCAACGAAATAATCCTCCCAGATTGACCAGAACAATTCGAACACTAGTAAACCATAAGGGCTAAATTGACGGCTGCTATGCTCATGATTTAATTCTAACTTCCCCGCCTGATTGGTGCCACTGCCGCATGAGGCTGGTTGGTGAGAGTTTATAGGGGTCAAGTATGCCAGTCTGTTATAAGCTTTTGATAATGGTGCACTGCATTTGTTTGAAGTGGAATTTATGAATAGCCACACAGCTTGACAGGATTTTTTTATTTCTGTCTGCTTAACAGCCCATCATGTCAAAGAAAACCAAGAGAATGATGAAGGAAAAAAATAGATTTTTTTTAATAAGGATTGGGAATTGCAATATTATCTTGTTTTTGCTAAAGATAAGATGATCTATTTACTTTGTTATACTGCAGTATCAACATTAAAGAAATGCAGTGCTCACCAGCATGATAACACTCATAAAGACCACAAATATTTTAAATTAGAGGGAGAGGCATGAAAGGTTGTACTGTAGAAATTAAAAAATGAAAAGCAAACTCAAAGACAATTCTTTCAAGCAGCAATAAGACCCAGAAATAATGCCACTGAAGCAACTTATAAAGTAGCTTATATACTTGGGG